GCCCAAGAAAGTAAAATCTGTCACTGCCTCCATATCTTCCCCGTCTATGTGCCAGGAGGTGATGGGACCAGTGGCCATGATCTTGGGTTTGTTTGTTTGTTTGTTTGTTTAATGTTGAGCTTCAGACCATTTTTGGCACTCTCCTTTTTCACTGTCATTAAAAGGTTCTTTTTCACCGTCATTAAAATTCCTCTTCACTTTCTGCTATCAGAGTGGTATCATCTGCATATACTGTATGAGGTTGTTGATATTTCTTCCGGCAACCTTAATTCCGGCTTGGGATTCATCCAGTCCAGCCTTTCGCATGATGTATTCTGCATATAAGTTAAATAAGCAGGGAGACAATATACAGCCTTGTCGTACTCCTTTCCCAATTTTGAACCAATCAGTTGTTCCATATCTAGTTCTAACTGCTGCTTCCTGTCCCGCATATAGATTTCTCAGGAGGTAGATAAGGTGGTCAGGCAGTCCCATATCTTTAAGGACTTGCCATAGTTTGCTGTGGTCCACACTGCTGTCATAGGACATGTCTCCATTAAATAAAAAGAAATTCCCCAGGATTTCTCCTGAGATTTAGGCCAAATCTGAACTTTGATATTCACAACTAGTACATTGTGGAAATTTCTATAAAATGCAATGGTACACACATGAAACCTCTAGACTGCTTGCAGTATCTGGCATCTCTTTGCCATACAAAGTATAAATACACCTTTAACTGTGACAAATTAGAATGAGGCATTTGAACTTCTTGCCCCCTTTGCATTTCCACCTTGTTCAGAACAAAATGTATGCACCATTCTAGCTTTTAAGGTGTGCAGTAGGCCACTAGATAAGACTCCATTGTTTCAGGAAGGGTGTTATCTCTCTCTCTCTCTCTCTCCCCCCTAAAGGATTGTGTAATGGAGATCTCTCTCTCTCTCTCTCTCTCCCCTAAAGGATTGTGTAATGGAGACACTCAATCTTGCTTCTAAACAACCTTGGTTTTCTGCCTGTTGTCTCCCAAATGGTGGTCTCTAGTACAGTGGACATTCTTTATATTTAGTGTTGTCTTGGACCAAAAGTTTGATAGCATCAAACCAGCAAATGAGTTCTATAGCAGCAGTTCCATGAATCCTTCTTGATTAACATTTCAATGGTCAGGAATGGGCCACATTCACATTTTACTTATGATTAGCTCTCTTGTCTTGTGTGTTGTGCATTATAAAGAGACACACATCTCTCTTTTGCCTGGCTCAATCTTTTGACATCCTGGGTCCGATTTCATTTGTTAAGAACATCTCCTTCCCTCTTCCCACTCCTGTCTGTGAACACACGGTATCTGACAAGCAGAAGACTTCATGCCTCTGACTAACCTGGCCAGATAAACTTATAGCACAACACACCTTTTCATCTCTAAGGTATCACAAAGCCCCTTTGTGGCTAACCCCTGGGAGTTTGTCTTCACAGGCAGAAGGAAAACACCAAGTTGGACGAGCTTTTATGGAGCAGGTTACCTTGAGTTTTCACTGCATTAAATTTACAAGCTTGTATCAAGTGAGTATTTAATGGTGCATACTTGCTAGAAAATACGTTTATTTTAAAAATCCCACCCACACCACAGATTCTCAGCATGGTGAGGACTGGGATCATTTTGCCTGCAGATTCATCAAAGATGCTTTCAAAAAATATTCCTATTAAAGTACCACATTCAAAATAAATGCAGTATGCACCACCAATAAATCGTTTCATGGGAATAAGTCTAAACCACCTGAAATTTAGGGGCTTTTCCTCTAAAATTTCACCCTTTATAAAACTGATAAAGGGTTTCAGCCTCACCCATTGTTATTCTATAACCTCAAATGTACCCGTGGAAGAAAAGTTAGTAGAAATGGCTGACATTCTTATAAGTCAAGGTTTTCACTCTGCATGTTTATTGATTTTATGTAATCCTCTGGTGATCCTGCTACGGCTTTTGGGGTTTGTGAAATGTTCAAGGAAAATGTTACCACTGTCATCTGCCTTGTATGAGCAGGGATTGGAACCCAGTTCTCCTGGGTCATAGTCTGCCACTCTGTCCACCGACACCACACGGGCTGCTTATTGTTCATGAGGGGAAGGGAAATTCACAACACAGGGAAGTAAATGATGGAAAGTGATCAGGAGAAGCAGCAACCAAAAAACTAACAGTTGAAAAACAACAACCCACAACTTAACAAACTCCAGCCCCAAACCAAGAAAAAAATACAAAGGAAAAAAAATAAGCAACTTACTCTTGCAGGGCAACATAGCTCCACCACAGTTGATGCAAAAACAAAACAAACATTAACAGGCAGGATGTGTTTTAGTGGAACATTATGCCAAACGTAACATAGTGCTTTTGCTTGCAGTAAAGTAAGTTTGCAGAAAAACTCAAAAGGATTACACAAAGGAAAAGGAAAAAAGCAAACCAAGGGTACATACTCATCTTCTAGACGTTAGAACTCGAAACGGTTTTCTTCAGAAGCAAGACAATTGAACAAAATGTTAAAACGCGCATGGGAGATAAATTAAAAAAAATATGGCACTGTGTAATATGGTTTTTATATATTTTTATATAAATATGTATATGTACGTATATAAAGAAAAGAGAAAGCCATCAGTAGGTGAGATCAGTCAAGGTGACAGGCCTCCAGGTAGCTTGGCAAGCCCAGCCCATAGATGTGGCCCATGAGCCAATTGCCAAGGGCATCCCATAAAGGGGCTCCCTACCTTCTGGTCCCACAGCTGCAGGGACGCAGTCTCGGTGGACTGTACCCTGCAGGCTTCATCAGTGGTGCAGCTCAACTGTGAGAACAAGAAAGGCCAGCCTCCACAATGGCAAGGCTTCTGGCAGTTGGTCTCGCCTTCCAGCCTGTGCAAACCTCTGGGTTTAAGACTGTCGTTTCCTGCCAGGTCTGCTCTTTTCCTCATCTCTCATATCAGAAACAAAACTATTTTGGCTTTTAACAAAAGCAGGAGGCTTTCGCATCGCCCCCACTTTTTTTTTAAAAAAAGAGAGAGGGAGAGATGCTTGCATATGTGGAGGGAGAGAGAATGTTAGTAAAAGTGAAGAAAAAATAAAAAGGGTCTGTTATAAAAATGATTTAGCCTCTGACGCCCACCGTACCGTGGGGGGAGGCGATCCTCTTCCAATCAGTGGGACGTTTTCATAGCGTGGGTTCCCACCAAAGAGCACAGCTTGGTTCCTGCAGGTAGAGAGGAGTAAGGTCAGGAGGACACTCTGTGAAAACGAAGTCCGTTGCAAAGCCTCTGGCTGAGAATCATCCCTGTCACATTTCTACAGAAGCAGCCAATCTTTGCCAGGAAGGGGTTTGGGATAGGGTAAGGAGAGGGGGGGGGGGAAGAAAAGAAGTGCTAACTCCCACTTAAAATAGCTGTGGGTTTGTTTGTTTTTCTAAGCAATAATGCCAAACCTATTATTATTATTTCAATTCCAAGTAATATGTTCAGCTTGGAAATATCACTAGTCTTGTTCAGGGGTGACAGAATGTCAGCCATTGAGCCAACGGCTGTGGGGTGTGCTAGCAGAACAGAGGAAAACCTGACCCTCACTTTACCTTGCAATTCTTTGAGGAAAGGAAGAAACCCAACCCCACTTTCTTTGTAATGTTTTAATTTGTAAGGTAACTCGTGCTTTTTTTTTTTGAAAAAACATCCGAGAAACACTGTAAACCAGGTTGGATCCCTCTATGGGGGAGAAGGTGAGATACAAAACAAATTAACAAATAAATAAGAATAACAACTCTACCTCATTCCTCAGAATCATTACGTAGGGTCTCTGCTTTTATTTCCTCCAAAAGAAGGACAAAAAAGGGTGATCATCTGTATAGAACTACCTATGCTAATTTGTACACAAAGACGAAAAATTAGATATGATTTTTTTTAAAAAAAATTAAACACAACTACACAAATGCCTGTCGCTTGAGCAGGGAAGACAATGACCAGGTGACCTCTGGGTGCTGTCCAGGTGCTGCACACAGTGGATGATGGGCAGCTTCGAGGTCCCTGGTCTCCCTCCTCCTTGCATTTTTTTTAAAAAAATATTTCAGTTAGACTTGGGCTGAACAGCACTTCAAATGCAAGACAGTTTCAGAAAAAGGGTTGTTTGCTAGCAGCCCATTAAATGGAGGACTGTCCTCCTCAAAAAAAAGGACATGGGGCCACTCTACCACCACCTTAGTGAGCACTGATGGTGACTAAAAGGCTAATTAGAGCTGAGACATTAAGGCGATGAGGCAAAGGGCTGCCTGAGCGCATGAATATTCTCTTCCACATGGGAAGGGGGGGATTCGTAGGAAGACAAAGGATGGTCTCTGCTGAGCTTCCAGATGTCAACCAAAGGCTGCAGTCAAGATGCTGCCTGCCTTTGGCCTAACGGTTCTCCAACGTTGACCTAGTGAGACTCCTGGAGTGGGGACGTGTTGGGCAAGAGAAGAGGAAATTACACTAGGGTGATCTTTAGGATATTTAATCCTAAACCTGCACTTGAAAGACCAGCAACTCAGCAGGAGACACTCAACTGTCTGTACCACATGCAGCTGTGTGTGTGGTACAGTCCTTTCATGGGATCGTCCCATATCAGAATGAATCAACATTTCTCATAAGCTTCTCTAGATTCCAAAATCTTCTCGCACAGAGTCAAACAGCTTTAGGTATCACTAGGTTGCATAAGGACTTGCATTGGCCTGTTAAAAACAGTGTACTTCGATCTGCTTCCACTTGCTCCAGAACTCACAATGGCAAAAGGAGTTTTTTTTTTAAAGTTGCTTTCTTTTTTGGTGGTAGTGGAGGGAGACATGCAGGGAAACAAATCTTATGTATTCTCCCTTTTTGTCTTTCCACACAGGCAACAAGAAACGCTTCAGGCACAATAGTTCCAAAACGGATACACAAACTGTTTCACAACTTTTTTTTTAAAAAAAGAATCTTCTAAGTCATTAAAAAAAATATACACTTTCATCGAGACTTTCATCCGATGATTTCCCTGCATGTGAGAGTTCCACCTTTTCACTCCTCACGATTGCCCCAGCAAGGGAACTCTTCCATCTGGCAAGCAACTGGCAAGCCCCAGCCCTCTTCCCAAGGCTTTGAGTGACAAAGGCAGGCATGGAGAGTCACCTTGGGGTCTGCACAGTGACTCCCTCAGCTGTCAGGTGAGGCAAAAGGACGAGGGCTTCTTCATTTGCTCCTCAGCTGAGGCACCATTAGCCTCCGTGACAATGCAGCGGAGCCCCATCTGCCAACCAGGACAGGGAGAGATGACGCTCCCTTGACCGTACCGTATCATGGATTATTTTTAAAATCACACAACTGTATTAAATGCCAGGGATGTGCATTGGGCAGTAACAATGGGGCATCACTACAAATATAAATAAAATACATTTGACAGAACTCAAAGATATTTTATACCTGTGTCAATGGCATAAATCAGAGCAGTGAATGGCCACTAATCAGAAAGTCCTCAAATAACTTCCTAATTGTGTGCTGAGTCAAACATGGCATGCTACTAGAAATTCAATGGGGGACTCATTAATTTGCTGCTCTGAATTACACCACTGCATTTACACAGGAGTAAATATGGGATTCTGGCAACTGTTTGATCTGGGAGAACAGATGTTCTTCTAGAAGTTTCCATACATCCATGCTAGTGGGATTCCTGCCATCCTAGCAAAGGCATCCCAATTTTAGATCCATCTAACCCAGAGAGACATGGTCATCTGGCTTTGCGGATGATGAACAGTCAGCGGGTGGATGAAGTGCAAACTATTGTACTACAATACACTGTCTTTAATGTTGCCAACAGTCAGGTGGAAATTTTGGCAACACACCTGTATGCTTTCCAAAGAATGGGATGGCAACCCAGTACCACTCAGATCTTGGGGGTCACAACTCCCATAATGCCCAGTCACTGGCCACACTGACTGACAGCTGTAGCTCTACCTCTGTTCTAAGAAGTATGGACACCTTCAACCCCTTCCCCTTTACTTCTCTTCACTTATTACCTTCTTCCAACCCTGGAGGAACTGCATTGAGAGGCAAACAAATCAAACAGTTTGGAGGGACAAGGAGGACCTAAATGAGGATGAATTTATGCATTGACTTGGGAGCCTGATAAAGCTTTTGCAAAAGAGAGAAGCCATGTGTTTCTTATTTCCTGGATAACACTCTGCCAAATATAAGGATATGAACAAAGACCTTTTGGAGAAAGAACTCAAGAACTTGGATGTTCGAAAGTTATGGAAAACAGAAGGCTCTGTCAAATGATGGCAGGGGATTCGCCAACCACATCTGGCCGAGAAAGAGAGTTTCAGTTCATCTCCTTTGTCTATCACGGCAAAACCAAATGAATCGTCTTTACACATCTCGTCTATGGATTTGCTTTTCAAGGAACACCTCCAAGGGCTTTTCTTCCTTTCTTACCACGAGAGGAACCTCTAGAGTTCCAAGACCTCTCAGTGATTTGCAGCTGGCTCTTCTATGGAGTCCGGGACATCCAGTCCGAAAGGGGCAGTTGGGCAGCCAGCTGCGGGGAGGGTGGAATGGAGACACGGTGGTTCTCAGAGAGGGATGGAGTGATGGAAGCAAACATGAGAGTCAGCATGGATCTTGGCCGGAGCAGATGGTAACATAGCATGAAGAGCTAAGGATGGGAGCTGCAGTTAGGCAACCAGAGGTTTTGACGTTCTCTTTAGGGACTTTTGGAGACCTACAGGCCTGTGGGCGGGCTTAGGTGCAGTTTCATTGGTATGTCGGCCATTTTGTACTCACATGTATTCGGACACGGGGGCATTGGAGATGGTCTGAGCTGGAGGCTGGAGACTCGTCTGACTGCCCAGGCTGCTACTGTAGCTGCAGAAACTACGAAGCTGCCCACGGTTTGGGTTGTGGGCTGCGATACGCTGGGCCTGAGGGTTGAAGGGGTCTTCTTCATCTATGTCATCGTAATCTCGGTCCCTGCATGGAAGGGAAAATAATCCAGGAATACCAGGCCGAGGTGCTGGCTCAGCCTCCAGAAGGAGAAGGTCTCACTGTGGAAACAAAAGCTGCCCAGGAAGATGCCACAGACTGAATCAGGAATGCTGTCCCACCTAGCTTGGTATCCTCGACTCTGACTGGCAGCTTTTCTCCAGGCTTTCCGACAACCCTTTCTTAGTCCTATGTGGAGGCTGAACATGGGACCTTCTTCATGCAAAGCACATGCGGCACCTCTGAGCTATGGCCCCTTCCCCCAGAAGTCCCATCGCAGAGCCAAGGGAAAGCTTTTTTCACTGGCCAAAAATGATAAAAATAAGGAAAGACTGGGCACCACTAGTGGTTTCAGGAAGGAGGTAAGTATGAGAGTTTCAGATGCTTTGGAGACCCACTTCTTGCAGGTTCCCTTATGAATGCACAAGCAGGGCCCATGGAAGAAGTAGGTGTTCCCAAAGGAAACAGTTCTACAGCAGGAAACGCATGTGTCTCAAAAAAAAACCAACCCCCAGGTTGGCTTACCAATTAAACAGGAGCATGAAAAGAATCCTAAATATCTCATGCTACTTCCAGCACGGTGGTATTAATACCGGAAGCAGGACATGTCTCTTGCAAACTGAGCAACAAATGAATGGATGCCGGGCAGTAGTGAAGCTCCTCCTTTGTCACCTCACCTCTCTGCTGTGCATGCTTGCCTGCCTGTCTCTTTCTCTCCCTCTGCTACTGCTGCTCTTCTTCTGACAAATGAAGGATGAGCACTGGGAGGGGAGGACCCACTGATGTTGGGGGAGGACTGTGGGGTGGGGTGTTGCTCAGCAACAGATTTTCATGTTCCATATATTACTTCAAGAAGGCCATGTAGGAGCATAACTGACGGCATACTACCTAGACAGTCTCTAGGCTCCCAAGCAACCTGGAGAAACCTCCACTGGGTGACATCTGGGAGTCTTCCCTAGCTTTTTGACAGAATGTTCAGTATGCACAGCTCTAGCAGTGCAGCGCCTAGACAGTCTCTAGGCTCCCAAGCAACCGGGAGAAACCTCCACTGGGTGACATCTAGGAGTCTTCCCTAGCTTTTTGACAGAAATATTCAGTATGCACAGCTCTAGCAGTGCAGAAAGGGAAGAAGAAGGGACCAGGCACCAAAACACAGAATGCCAATTTTGTTGGATTCACTCCCCTTCTACAAACCTTTTGTAGTTAGCGAGATTGTTTCCCCCCACCTCTGTGTCTGCTTTTAGTGACCTTTCCCTTTTACCTGCTGGCTAAGTGCTTCCATGCACGCGGCACGGCACAGATAATGGTGGAGAAGGCCACCGCAGCCAAGAGAGAGAAGAGAATGAGGTAGAGCAAGCCTTCTACGCCATCGTAGCAGATCCCGATCAAGGCATCCAGATAATCCTTGAGTTGGAGAGGAGGAAAGAAGAGGAGGGGAGTGTCTCGGTCTTCATGGTGCCAAAAGGCACTGGTTGCACAAGCCCCCAAGGCACAGGAGCCCTCATGCTGCTGCTCACCTTGTGCAAGCCCCTGCAATCCAACATGGCAGTCAGCTGGTGGAGGCTGGTCTCTGAGTAGTTCAGGAGCTGCTGTATGGCAAGCAGGTCTTTCTACAACGAGGGGAAAGCAGTGACAGAAACGTTGTATTTGTGGCTGGGAAAGACACACGTTGCCAGATCCGGTACAATGGCCTTTGGTGCAGCAACACCCAAGTGGACATACTTCCCAAATACGAGCAGGAAAGGGGAGAAACACAGAGACCTTTGTCTTGTAGACTTTTGCTGAAGTCTGTGCAGGAATTCAAGGCTTCTACCACTTGGGCTCAGTCTTTCCTAAGCAGCTGCCTGCCAGATGTGTTGGGACTACAACACGCTGTCTGGGTCTGGTGGGGCTTGTCGCATGACACACCTGGCAAGAGTCCAGCTGAGGAAGGCTAGCATGGCCCATTGAGGAATGAACTCACGCAGCATTAACAACTGCACAAGGGGAGGCTTCTACCCGCCCACCTACCCGTGGTAGCAGAAGACACATCTGCAAAGGAGAACCTACTGTAGCTTGACTGTAGGGTCCCCTAGATTTACAGCCCCAACTGTACAGTGTTCCCCATCACAAGGGGTCCCAGGGGCATATAATGAAGTGACTTCTACTGGTCTCCCCTCCAACACACATGCACTAGGTGGGCAGGGATCAGGCCAGTGGCTGCAACCCTGCTCTCCTGCAGTTGTTAAAAGCATAAGGAATCGTGGCTCTTCTGTTTGAAAGCCTTGGGTTAGGATATCCTGATGTGAGAAGTAAACTGGTCAGTCGGACTGCAACTCCCAGAAGCCTTCACCACCAGCTGTGCTGGCTGGGGTTTCTGGGAGCTGCAGTTCAAAAACATCCGAGTAACAAAGGTTAAGAACCACTGGGTTAGAATATCCTGATGTGAGAAGTAACTGGTCAGTTTATTCCACTCTTACATAAAGCTGTACGATTATGGGCCAGCATGTCATGTACACAGCAGTCATAAAAGCAGTCCTTGGTCATTCAACAAATGCTGACTCAGTCTCAAGTTGGGCAGGCTGGGCTTCTGTCCCAACAAGAAGTGACTAGAATCTGAGAAAAACATCTCTTTATGCTCACTAGGGGGGGAAATTATTTTCTCCATGAAATTTTGCAATTTGTTTGATTTTTAGTGGTCCAATGAAAGGAATTGTCCCCTTTTACATTTGTCCCTAGACAGCTGCACTTCCTCTTTTCTGAAAGTGGTTTCTCATTTCTAGAAACACCAGTTTCTAGGTTCTTGCTGCAATGTCTCTTCCCATATGGTCACAGAATGTTTGCTCTGTTGCCCACATATTTTGTCCTTTCTGCTGCCTGCTGCACTTTCATTTCACCTTGTCTACAAGTAACCAAGATTCTCCACATGAAATACATGCCAGCCTTCCCACAACGCCAACCAAGTCCTTTTGCCAAACAATAATCCTGAAAGCAAAAGAGGCACAATTCTTTAAGTCACTTGGTTTTGTGGGCTGCTGTAACCTTGGTTCCATAGGATATTAAGAGAGCCAAGCTATTTACCTCAGCTGTAGGGAAAAGAGGCACTGCAAACTTCATGAGGCCCTGAATCTGGATTTGCATGGTCGTCAGAGAGCGCTGGTAGATGGTCAGGGCCTGCAAACAGGGAAGAGAAGACACAAGACACGAACCAACCTTTAACTCACAAGGCCATAAACCCCAAGTCCAGAAACTTTACTCTCTTAGCTACCAAGGAAGTGGCTCTTTTCTAGATGGTCTTCACTGGAGAGGGGCAATGTTCACAGATTCTCTTGCCCACAATAGAGAACAGGGCTCAGATGTCAATAATCATGTGCAATAAAGAATTAAAAACTTGTTATGCTAACAAAAAACACCAACAAGGTTAATTTTTTAAAAAAGTAACAATTAGTGTTTTCTGTTATTTTAATTCAATTTTGGGGGTTCTCATTTTTGGGCTGGGGGATATTTTTAGAAAATTTAATTTTTTAATTGAGTAATTTACTTCTTATTCAATTATTATGTGCAATTACAGCAACACATTAATTTTATAAATTCTCTAAACTGTTCAGTGTTGAATAATTTTCTACAGTATTTCTGGTGTTAATGTGTTAGCACTACCACGTGCATGTCCAAGCTTTGGAACAGAATCTATAATCTACTGTAGAGATGGGGTATTCATATACGAATATGAATATCCCCACACAGGTGGTGTTAACGAGGGTCCAGCCCCATGGGGCCAGACGGTTCACTCACCGATCCACCGTGGACACAGACGGTGCGATTCTATGAATGGTTCCGCAGTGCACGATCCGCTTGCCACTCCTGGCAGGAGGTGGGAGGACAAGACTCTCTGCAAGGTTGAAGAGTGGCGGGTGGATTGCACATTGCAGAGCCATTCATAAAACTGCACTGTCCGCGTCCAATCAGTGAGTGGATTGTCTGGCCCCATGGGGCTGGACCCTTCTTAACGCCACCTGTGCGGGGATATTCGTATACGAACACCCCCATCTCTAATCTAATGTCATGTGTATTACAATAATGAACTTATAAACTATATCCAGTTATTTTCCCTCAAGTGAGCAGACTATAGACATACTAACAGAGAATTCCAACCATCAGTGTGTTTGTATGTGTTATGTGCCCTTGTGTCAGAACCAAGCCTAATAGGGTTTTCAAGGCAAGTGAGACATTTCAGGAGGGGTTTTACCAGTTCTACCCCTTACCCCATGGGGTTCCATGGTTGAGTGGGGATTTGAAGCCAGTAGTTGATAAGAGTTGATAAGTTCATCACTCTTATCAACTACACTCCCCTGAGTGTAGTTGATAAGAGTGTTCAACATGACCAAATACTTACCTGCTGGAAGGGGTTTGTGAGACTTTGGCTGCAATACAGGTAGTATCTTACAATTTCTGCAAAGCAAAGTACAAAGGGAAGCGGGTCAGAGCTCAATATGGCACTTACCTATCCTGTGCCAACGTTACTTAAGCAGCTCCTAATTCAGACTGGACCTCAGCTGGCTCTGAGTATAATATTGCAAAGAGTGAGATGGCCTTACACAAAGTCTCTCCTTTGGCAATGTTGGTTGTACCTTGCACTGCTGGAGGCAAGATGTAGTACAAAGCTTTAAGGCTACTACACCAAACTACTGAGAAGTCCAGAATAAGAGATGGAAGGCTAGAGCCCATACACCCCATGCACCATAGGAGCTGGTGTGAAAATCTGGCTTTGCAAAAACATTTCCTTCCATGGAGGTGTGCGAAAGTACATGCTGTACTTACAAACAAACAAACATGTCTCCCACATAGCGCCTGCCCAGAAGTGTGCAAGGCAGAGAGAAGGGCAACCCCCCCAAGACCCTTCCTGCTTTTCACCATTCTTGCACTTGCTCATTCTCTCCTGCAACTGTCTCCTCCTACAGTTCCCATCATTCCTGACCACTGGCTATGGTGGCTCTCATCAGCAGAGGCTGATGTGAGTTAGGATCCCAAACAAATGGGGCAGAGTGTCAAGACAAGGAAGGCTGCATGAGGGATTGCCCTGGAGAGAAACACCTATCTGTGAAGGGCAGGGATTGAACCCTACAAATGGTGGTCAGTTATACTTCTCTCTCAGCGACATCTTGCTTCAAGCAGGGCTTTGCTCGTAGAACCAGAATAACACCATTAATTCCCTTACCTGCACTGAGGTCGCCTTTTGTCATGTTCACAATGAACTTATCTGGAGCCACACAGAAGTCACTGGTACCCTATGAGAATCAGAAATGCTCAGAATGATGCCAAAGCAATGGCTAAAAGAAGGACCTAAGAATGTCACAAGCCTATGACTTAAACAAAAGTCACCGATTTTTCCACTTTTGTATGCAGCTCTGGAGAAATGTGCCCCGCCCCATTTTTAAGATGTTTCGGCTTTCTATAAAATGTGCATTCCATGAAAATGTTATTTCCCCTATATAAACAAAGTTCATATACATGTGCAGATGATGCACAAAAGGTGCTTCTACCGTCCTGCCTTAAAATGTTTTTCAACACAAAAACAGCCTTTTGGGTGAACGAGGAAAGCAAAGCGACAAGGAGGCAGTAATGTCAGTAATAAAATAATGTGCTGCTGCTTTGGTACCTCTGAGAAAAAGGAGAGGGTAGTTTGCAAAGTGGCCGAAAAGGGAGATGGTGCCAGCCTCCTCCCTCCCCCCCTGCCCTGTAACCACAGAAGAGATGTAAGCCTAGATCCTGTCTCTGCAGCACAAACAAGAGGCTCCTGATGCAGGCAGGTAAGATTCACTAGGCTGACGGGCTGACATGATGCTACAGTTTGCTTTTTCTCTGCTCAAACATGCATCAACTCATTGACCAGCCTTTCATGCTCAATCCTTCCAGAGTCGCAATCAGGACAGCAGACATTTAACCCCTTCTCAAACATGTAACCTCTTTTCAGTCATTTGTCTGAATGGTTGTGGGTCCCAGTGGGAAAGGGATGGGACGACATTTGTTGCCTCTGCCCCTACAAGCCTTTGCCCACCCATCTCTGTTCTTCTCCAGGTCCATCTTCCCTGGCAATGAAGGGGCGCTCGGCTCACATTCGCTTGAATATGGATGGAGCACTCAGTATCTTCTGCTACTATCCTTCATTAAGATATCCAATTGGGGGTGAGGAGTCTTTTCTACTTACTGGCATCTAAAAATCAGCAGTGTGTTAATAGCAAGAAGGTAGAAAGTTCAAGTTAGATCAGCTCCCCAACCCATGATGCCAGCAAAAGCTCCTGAGTTAGAAAGGAAGCACTGGAGACGGTCCCGAGCTGTTGCCAGGAACCCAGAGGAGATGATAGAGCAGGGAAAGGGCAAACTGGTACCTTCCAGATGTTTCGGACTAGAACTCTGTGAAGGTCCAGCCAGCATGACCAATGGGCATGAGATTACAGCTGTTGTGGCTCAGAACATCTAGAGGACACCATATTGTATGGCCCAGAAGCCATGCTTTCGTAAAGTATCAGAAAACGAGTGGCTATGGCACAAGCGCTGTCCTTACCACTGCTGCTGAAACATCTGCTGAAAAGGAAGCCCAGCTGAGAATGAGTGTGAAAAGCCCACAGCACAGCATCCTGTGAACAAAAGGAAAGTAGATGCAGAGGGGTGGGTGGGTTCATTAGCAAGACAAGGGACCAGGAATCCCAAGACCACTGATGGATGTAGCACACTTACAGGCAGAACGGGCTTGAAAATGTTTTTACGAAAATGTTTTTACGGCACTGGCTTCTTCTCACAACCTGAAGCAGGTTGTTGTCTGCCCATTTTGCAAACATAAAGAATAGGCAGAGAGGGGGGACAGATTGTCTACAGCCCCTCAGTGACTCTGCAGCTGAGGCAGGAACTGGGTTCAGTGGTCGGGCTGATCCTGTCCCAGCTAGAGCAGACGTTCCAGGCTGCTCTCAGTCCAGTGCAAAAATACACCAGGAACAAAACGCAAAACAGGAAGTTGGAGCAACTGCACACGTATCACTTTTCCTCTCACTCTATGATTCTGAGAACTGACAAGGCCATACTTGCAATAAAATATTTTCTAAGAGTGACTGCAAAGTCAATGTGATGTAAAAAGACACAGAATCATGAAGTTGGAAGGGGGCTTTAAAGCCATTGAGTCCAACCCTCTCCTCAATGAAGGAATATAAATCAAAGGATACCTGCCAGGTGGTTGTCTAAGTTTCTCTTGAATGCCTCCAGTGTTGGAGCGCTCACCACCTCTCCAGGTAATTGGTTCCACTGTCGTACTGCTGTAACAGTTAGGAAGTTTTTCCTGATATTTAGCCTAAATCTGGTTTCTTGTAGTGTGAGAGTTAGTGTCAAGTAGATTGGGACTCCTGTATCGCACAAGGAGGCAGCTGCTTTAGAACCGTGAGGCAGAGAAGGCCCAGACGCAGGACTTTACCATCCTTTATTTTTATCGTTTGAGGTCGTGGTGGTGTGTTAGCCTTCAAGGCAGTCTGATCGTGTCAGGCATCTGGGAACCAGGCACGCAAAGGTGCGAAATGAGATCATTTCTCCTCACTCCTGTACAACAACCAGCCACAGATACTCACGTAATAAGCAGACATTTGGAGTGCTTGGCAAGTCCAAGGCAGGCTATAAGGCAGATCACCAAGTCAAGGATGAACAGCAGGAGGTAGGAGAGCCATCTGTGGAAAGAGGAAGTGGGTAAAACAAAACCAAACAGAACAAAAACCCTGCAGAATCTCAGACCAAAATGGCGAGATCCGAGTGAGGCCTCAGGGAGCACAATCCCTGGGAACCCCAGGATTGGCTGCAGCACAACATTTGCAAAAGGCAGCCACTCAGTTTTCCTAGAGCTGTGGTTCCCAACCTTGGGTAACGCAGATGTTCTTGGACTTTTAATTCCCAGAAGCCTTCACCAGTAGCAGTGTGGGCCGGGGTTTCTGGGAACTGCAGTCCAAGAACACATGTGTTACTTAAGGTTGGGAACCACTGCACGAGAGGCTTGTGGACACATCAATTTGCTAGAAAATGCAAAACAGAAATGGCTTCACTTGCATTATAAATGGCAGAAAAATGTGTATTTGTTTAGATGTGAGAAACAGAGGGGTCTATCTTACGCACACTTAGCTGTGAGTAAACCTGACCGAATGCCGAGGAACTCACTTCCAAGTAAATAGTGCATTCATAGGGTTGCTTTGTTTCTTTAAAAAAAATGTAAATCTTGGACATTTTGTAGGCGAAGGCATCACCAATCTGGGGCTGCGAGCCCCTTTTTTGTGGCCTGCCAGGAATGAGGGAATGTGTGAGTACGAGACGGCAGTTATAGCACTCAGTTTTCTTTTGTTTCTTTGAAGGGTTTTTTGGCATGCTTTTCTTAATTCCCACTCTACTGTTTTCTTACAAATATATTTACATGATCTCACTGGTGTGCTTAAAGGAGGCAGCTTCCTTTACCGCTATTGGCATCAGTAGGCAGAAACATGCTGCATGCAGGAGCAAGATGTTCCTTTTGTAGCAGGCATCCTGCGTGCACTTATTCAGCATCAATGCACAAGATCAGCTTCCACTATAACCAAAGTTCACATGTGATTTTGTTCTTGGAGATGATTTAAACTAAAGTGACAATCCTATCACAAAGCCAGCTCAATGAAGAGTTCTGGAGTGCTCCAAAGCTAGCTTGATGTTTTGGAATATTTTGATGAGTTCTAATCAAAGCATTGCCTGCCCATGGACCTTAAACGATCTTGTGTAGATCTTTTAAAAATAACAGTTCTCTTAACCCCTCCCCCCAAGAGGGGGAACCTCCAATTAAGTTGTCTGTCTTGCTTCTCCCATAAAAGCAGCTCTCCTGCATCTGCCCGAGGACCCAGTCCAACATACGTATAATTGACACTGTGAGTATCCAGCATAGTCAGGGGTAATGGAAACCATAGTTCAAAACACCTGGGATGCAGAAAGGCTTGGAAGGCTGTTCAAGGGACTGAAAGCTGGGTATAAGAAGACAACGGTCCTGTTTAGACATTTCCAAGAAGTTCTCCAGAACTTTTCCACATCCCTCAGCCATGCAGAATCGAGTAACTTCAAGATACTGCACATTTCTCTAGTTCAAATGTCTATGAAAATATTTTTGTAGACCTTTATGGATGGGAACGTGGTGGCGCTGTGGGCTAAACTGCAGAAGCCTGTGCTGCAGGGTCAGAAGACCAAGCAGTCGTAAGATCGAATCCACACGACGGAGTGAGCTCCCGTCGCCTGTCCCAGCTCCCGCCAACCTAGCGGTTCGAAAGCATGCAAATGCGAGTAGATAAATAGGTACCATCTCGGTGGGAAGGTAAACAGCGTTCCGTGTCTAAATCACACTGGCCATGGGACCACGGAAAGATTGTCTTCGGACAAACGCTGGCTCTATGGCTTGAAGAGCGGGATGAGCGCCGCCCCCTAGAGTCGGACACGACTGGACAAAAATTGTCAAGGGGAACCTTTACCTTACCTTTATGGATGGGAAAAATGCCTGGTGAGGCCTCAGATGTTGATGAGGGCAGGAGAGAGGCTGGTGTGCTTAGCACTCGAGGGGCACAACCTCATCACTGTCCACAGCTCTTTGTTGGAGCCCCCTCCTCTGAATGGAGAAAGGCCCACTCCTTCTCAATAAACTAGGCAGCTGGCAAAATTCCCTGTTCCTTGACAGGAAGTAAAACAACAGTCGGAAGACACATGTGGGTGCCTTTGAAAATGTGCAGCTGGTGGCCTGGTGAGGGTGTGTGTGTGTGTGTATGTGTGGGATATGTCCTTCCAGCATTTTGTGGGGAGGAGCCTCCTTTGCTCAGACCATCAGCTAATGTTGGCTTTTGGTGTAATGAACAGACTGAATGATGTACTGTATGTAGTTTCCTAGTCTAAGGTGCCGTGGGCTTTGAAGGGATAGGCACAGTCACAGTATACTGTGTGTGTGAGGGCTGGGGGGGGGAAAGGATGAATTATATGTCTGTCACTGTCATGGAGCAACAATTCCCTAGGGCATGCAAGCAATTCTCTTCTTCTGCCCAGTCTCTGGCAAAAGAGGGCCTCCCACAGAGCAGATGCTGCTCTGGTCCCACTGGATTCACAGCCAGTGGCTTTCTGCCTCATGAACACTCCAGAGGAGAGGATGGGGGGTGGCGGGGCGTTGTTTTCTTCCTTTGTTTTAATCACTGCCTGAAGTCAGCAAGGACCCAATGTGCGCCCCTCTGCCATGGATAGGGTCAAGCATTATGTGTGAGTCTGAGAGGACTTTGGAACTACAGCTTAGAAGTGGCAAGGTGCAGGTAATGCTGTTAACTGGATGACACTGCTTTGGTGGTGGTGGAGGAGGAGAGGTACTGAGCAACAATGCAATATTCGTGAAAGATGACATAACAACTGGTAACATCATTACTTTCTTTTTGTAACAATTTGTGCCTGAAATATTCCACTTATCTTGAAAACTCTACTAGGGTTGCTATAAGTTGCCGGACAACAACAACACTGATTAATGAGATATCAACAGCATTTTCCTTTGAATTGTTAAGCATCAATTTTTTAAAAAAATTGATTAAAAAATTCTCGGTGTGTGTGTGGGGGGAACTGCCTGATGAGAATGGGAGACCAGATATGCAGGCTGCACAGACCCAGGCCAGCTCGGTGTTGATTCCTGGGACATAAATACAGGCTGACGTTTCCCATGAGCCTAAACAACTACCAATATCCCCGGACTGAAGTCAGAAGCACTGAGACAGAATTCTTCATTCCAAGAATAGACGGAGACTTTGAACCATTTTACAACAAAGAAAGTGGGTGGTCCCCAGCTATCCAAGTCACTGTTTTAGAACTGAGAACTCTCCCTCTTAACAAAACAGAAACAAAAGACCCAACTGACAACATTTCTCTGTTATATTAAACAACACGTCATTTAGTCAAATAGCTCTTTGGGCTATGTCAGATGATCAACCAAGTGTTAATTCTGGATTTGCTGTTCAGAAAAACGAGGCTGCACGGTAATGCCTGTAATTAGTAGCTTCATTCACGCCCTGACCTACAACTTTTGATTTGATTACCACCTCCCCTGCCGCTGCAGTGCATTATTGGCTTGAAACATGACTCTCTGAATGGCGCCCCCCCCTCCAGTGACCCAAAGAGCCCATTTGCAAAGGGATAAAGCAGATGCAGAAGCCGTACCACACTGAAGAGATGCAGGAGTGCCAGCTGCATCTTTCTTTCCTCACACAGAGAGATACGCTCCACTTCTATCTTGAAATTGCAGTCCCTTGGACATGTTCTTATATCTCAATGCAGTGGGTTCTTTCCCCTTTTCTGAAATGCCATACACTTCCCTATTCAAAGCCACGGCTGGCATGATTGCCCAGCACAGACATAAGGTGCCATCTGCTACTAGTCCAAGTGCCAGCTTGTTTTCATGAGCAGAAACATTACCAGTGCCTATGACTGGGAGGGGGGGGTGGGGCTGCTAGTAAATGTATTCAAAAGAAACATCTCCCACTAAAACAGTACCACTAAGCACTGAGCATATACTGTATATATGTGTTTGTATGTGTTCACATGACAAAACCTCTGGAGGAACATCGGCAGACAGAGAAGGAAGGAGGTACCAGAGTTAGACAGGGAACAGGGATAAGATAGTGCATTAGCAAGGTCCCTCCTTGTCATGGAGTTCTCTATGCTTGCCTCCCCTGCTTCCTTCCTAGATAAATACCCTGAGGGTTCACAAATAAGGGTTGTCAAAGCAGTGCTGTCATCTCCACTGCTTGCGCTATGACATGGGCATCCATTCATGCATAACTCTGCTATCATTTATAATAAACATTCAGCCAAAAAAGTGGGGATAATAATCCACAGCCCCCACATCTCCTTCTGTTGATGAAGTCATTGCCACTCCATGATTCTGTACTTCACCATTATTAATGTAGATTCAAAAACTCCACTTCACTTTTACGATGCACTGATATGCTGAAAACATTACCATTGTTTAAATACCGTCTACCCATAACATGATCTTGAAAGAGGGGCCTCATTTATTTCTGTCTCTCAAGGAATGGCACAGTTGGTTCAAAGAAAGAAGAGTGCAGCCACTTTTCTTGGCCCACGATCTTCCTGTTATCTTCCTACACCTTTCTCTGCCGGAACTACCTGTAGCTTACAAAGTCATTAGACAAAGACTAGACGCATGCTTTGGCATTGGGAGGTGAAGAAGAGATCCATGAGAAGTTCCCACCTCCTTGGTGATAACATAATGAAACACCTATCACATCTGCAGATTTTGGTAAGTCAGCATTTCTGAGAATTGAAACTTATCCTGAAAGATAACATTGCTGCATAGCGCTCAGAGACCATTGGTAATGGCGCAGCTAAAAAATCTTGTAAATAAAGAGGAGCAAGTATGCTGGGGGCTTGCTAGGCACTCTTGCCAGCCTCCCACATGCTGCTTCTGGTCAACAAAAGCAGCTCAACAAATAATTTGTTTAGTGTTAAGTCTGAATCAGGATGTCTAGTTAGCCACTTTCAGAATCAAAAGTTGGGGCTTCTGTTCTTATGACCCTCACTTGTTTGGAGGGGAACAAGCCAGAGATCCTGATTTGCACATCGCAGTAAACAAACCATGATTGAGACCCTTTGCTTCATTTAGCCACTCTCACCGGCAGTAAGAACTAGCCAGGAACAACTGAGGAAACGACTGAGCAAACAGGTATTCTCACGAATTCTGACTTAACTGTAAGATCTGAGCCAAGCCAGAGAAGGAACCTCATACTAAGTTAAATCACTGGTCCATCTAGGTCAGTTTTCTTTTCATTGACTGACAGTAGCCATCCAGGTTTCAGGGTGCCACTTCTTCCAGCCTCACTGGGACTTTATGGCTGTAAAGCTTGTACTCTGCAACTGCCCTACCATTCTTCCTGCGGGCTCAGGATCCCCAGTGGGGACATCCTTAAATCACACTGCCTGCAAGAGGACACACAAGATGGCAAAGCAAGTCACTGGCAGCTCCTGAAAGGCCACATAAGATTTCTTCCTCTTTGATATTCACTGTCATTTACCTGTAATACTCCACATAGCTGACTTCACTGGCAACCTGGGACAGGTCAATGGTGACATCTCCCCAGCTAGGAAGCCCATTAAGCTGCAGTACAATATTGTCTGCCATTTGCTGCAAGAACTTCAGGGTCCGGACGTAGTCGCCTTCCATGGCAAAGATCTCATTCAGCCGGGCAAGATGCTGCTCCAGGGCGACTTTCATCTGGCTTGTGGTACCAGAGACCTAGCAAAAAGATGGTAAACAGAACCATGTAAACCTATAAGTTGGCTTCTTTGAATCCTTCCTATTCTCTAAGAATAGAAAAAATGGCCAAGGTTAGCTGGACTTACCGTTTGGTTCTGAAAGGCCAAAGAACTTCATCCAATTACCACCTCACCTAGGTCTTTGACCAAGCCTCTTCGAATGTGTGCAATACAGTACTATACGCTAGCATAAGTAGTTAAATTTACAGGGGCAACCACAAAAGCAGAGTAGATTTATTACTTGCACACCTTGAACTAACCAACATGTTATGATGTAAGGTTTTGCAGACTGGAATCACTCTTGTGAGAGACATGAAATGTTCTGTTGAGTTACAAGTTACAGTACGTATGTGCTTTGTACTCAGATTGCCATTTCCTCTGACCTCGCTATCTACAACTGCCCCCAATTCATTCATGGGTGTGAACTGCCTGCACTTCAGCTTAACACTTCATCCATCAGAAGATGTAGAGCCAAGTCCATGAAGGGTCCCACACGGGAAGAAACAAGCAAAACTCTATGCTTGCACAGTCTAAGTGGTCTCTTCATTTAGCGAGCACTGAAGTGTCCCTTTTTTCACTCGTCTCAAGCAAGCATCTGCCAGAGGGCATTCCTTTCCGATAAGCTGTTGTTACATCAATGTGCTGTTTGCAAGACACCATCTCCTTGCTGTTGTGCTGTAATCATCTTGTTCTTTGCTTCAGACAGGAACATGTCTTGGGCCGGCTCCGCTCATGCTTTTGGTGCCTTTTGTGATTCATGTCTTACATGCTCTGCAGCTTTATAGTGAGGATTTTCAGACAAGAAATCCCAAGGAAGTCACAGCAAGCAAGAACCCAGCCTGACCCCAGGTAATTGGCTAATGTCTCTTCCTGGGAATGAGGGCCTCTGGAAGAGTGGAGGCAGGGGTGGGAGAAAACTGCCTGTGCTCAAGAAAAGTGGCCCAAAGCAACTGGGGCAGGTAACTATTAAGGCTGAATGAGAGGAGAAAAATGTGCTATATATCACCAACTTTAACTGGCTGGATAGCTCAGTGGTTTAGGCATCTAGTTGCAGAGCCACATGTTGGGTGTTTGATTCCCCACTATGTCTCTTGCGAGAAGAGCCAACCTATATGGCCTTGGGCAAGCTGCACAGTCCCAGGACACCCCCGGAAGAAGGGAATGGTGAACCACTTTTATTATCTACCTAGAAAACCCTGGAAAAATGTCACTGAAAGTTGGAACCAACTTGACGGCATGCAATTACCACCAATATTCCCGGCTTTGAATCTGACCACCAACCAACCAACAACCACCCACCCTGACATGAGGCTTTGAGCCTTGATCATTCCAGCTTCCCCAGTTCTTCAGGAGCCCCATAGTTCACTAGCCTTCTCATGCTCTGCTCTCCCGTCATTGTGTTCAGACAAGTCATGCTAAGCCACAATCTGCCCATTTAGTGGCAAGGGCAAAATCAAACAGCAGCTAAGCTGTAGCAATTAACCTAAGCCAAGGTGTCTCCTAGCACAATAAAAGTCCATTTCCCTATGCTGGTCAGAGCAAGACTTTCCAGTCCATGCTTGCACTTCTGAGTTCTTAATGTTTGCAGCCAATGGGCACAGTGCCAAGGAGAAAGTTCTCAGCGTGGTCTCTGCTCAGCAAAGACACTGCATGATACTGGGAATTTGTTGAGGAAGCCAGCTGTCTCTTCAAGAACAGGCCAATCTGGGAAGCAGATTATAGTAGTTTAAGGGAAGATGGACTCTCCAATGAGCAGATATGTTTCATCCTAATGCACACCAAGGGCCAGAAGACAATGTATAATAGAAGGGATGAAGGAGGGCATGTTCTAGACTGGGGAAGAAAGATGTGGCCCTCTTAGACACTGCTGGACTGCCGCTTTTATCAACACCCACCACTGGCTGCGCTGGCTTTGGCTGATGGGAGGAGCAGTCAAACGACTTGAGCAAGCCTGCACACTCCCTCATCCTGGGTCTAGGGAATCTTTTCACATAGGACAGTCACAGATAAAACTTGACACAACAGATTAACTTGAAATGCACATTAGCAAATAAGGGACAACAGTTCTGTTTCTCTCTCTCTTTTGGATTGATTTGGGTTATACTACAATAGTGCAGACTTGAAACATCAGACAGGCAAGAGACTTGAGTCCTGATATATGGAAGAAGAAACCTTTTCCAGGGCACAGATCTACCTTAATGGAGGCCCATCCTAACCTAGGGTCCTGTCTCACTTCACTGGAAATCACAGCAAGCAATGGAAGTGCAGCTTTAGTACCATGAAGTACCAATTGTGGTCAGGAACCTCAAGAACATATTTGTACCCAGCTCTGACAAAGAGAGAAGCAACAATGCTTTATGCTTTTCACTCCTCCTTACTGCTCTTATCAGAAAGCTAACAACATATGTCTGTTTAAAGAAAAAAACCCACATATGTTCCTATAGCAGTGCCAGTCTACACAATGAGGCAAGAGAGATATGCAAGTCCAATTCCTGAAGGCTTTGAAAGAGGTTGTCTTGTTTGTGTTGGCCCCTGTCATCTTGTCTAAGAGACATTCCAACACATGCTCTTGTCTGGTCCTCTAACTGCTCCTCCAGACTTTGAGCATTTCAAAACTATCACGAACCCACCACTCTGGGGCCAGATCACCTGCACTTGCTGATGAAGACAATATATATATATATTAAAAAATCTTATAAACTTAATCAATCCAATGTCTTACCAGTGAGTCAATCCCCGAGAGTGTGTGATTAGCATTATCAAGGGCGTAGATCAGTTGATAAACCCCATCGTTGGTTTCACTGTTGCCATAGAAACCAATGCCAACAGCCGCACTAGAAAGGAGAAAAAATTGAAAGAAAAATGTGGGTTAGAAGAGGAGAGAACAAAGTTTATTTATAGCAAGGTCTGGCTTCCAATCAAAGCTTACACTTATGCTTAGCAAGATTGTGAAGCAGATAAAAGAGGATCTGGAAACTCCCCTCCAATCACTTGCTGAAAACTATCATGAGGATGGGATCCGTGAGAATTAGGCCGGACACAGATGTTCTTTGGGAGAGGAGAGGAGTGGGAATCTTAAAAATAAGTGAATTCCCAAACAGAGCAGGAAAGAAATGTTTTCCAAAAGGGATTCCATCACCCTGCCTTATCTAGCAAACATTCTCTTCTTTCTGCAATCACCTCTTGGTTGTAGATTCCAATTCATCATGACTTGGTGTCTTGACATTTTATGTGGCCCAAGAAGCTACTTGGATCCAGGAGTGGATCATTGCCTCATGCGTGCATGGATATTTCCCCCACAATTTGTCCAGTGAAAAAGCAGAAGCATTCACAGCCAAATGAAGGCATTAAACTTGCCTGCAAAGTGGCTACAAGAAAAAAAGGGCTCTTATATACAGTGGTGCCTCGCATAACGAGCGCACCGTTTAACGACGAATTCGCATAGCGATCCGTTTTTTGGGATCGCTAATGCAATAGCATACCGATGCTTTCTATGGCCGAAAATTGCTTTGCGACGATCGGTAAGCGTTTCGCTTACCGATTTTCGCATAGCGATTTTTTAAAACAGCTGATCGGTGGTTCCAAAATGGCTGCCGGACGCCCAAAATGGCCACGCGCAGCATTTTCGTGCCCTGCCCTCGCTTACCGAGGGCTCAAAAATGGCGGCCGGATGGGGAAACATCGCAGAACGGTGAGTTTTGGGCCCCATTGGAACGCATTAAACGAAGTTCCAATGGGTTTTTCCGTTCCGTATAGCGATGTTTCCCCATAGCGATGGTTAATCCGGAACGGATTAACCTTGCTATGCGGGGCACCACTGTATTTAGCAGTTGTGTGGATCAAGGAACCTCTGTTGGTATGGCTTACCTGACCAGCTGCATCTGCCTAAGTTTTCTCTTGTACACAACTATTAAAGACATTGGGGCCCTGTCCTCTTTTTCACACAGCCAGCCTATCCACAAGAGCAGGTATCAGGACATCCTACCCCACTGAATCATACCTACTCAGGGATTAGGCATGGGGAGAAAGAGAACATACCCACTACTGGATAAGGCTGCATGTGTCTACGTGACAATGAGCAGACATGTCACATCCACATAACCATGGGCTGGAGTTCAGTGTATTGGAGTTAGGGGTATCCCTTCCCTATTTGGCCATGTTGTCCAGTGTATTTACTGAACTAGAAAATGATCCCAAAAGAGCAAGAGGCCAACAAAAGAACCACAAGTAAAGTGAACTAACTGTCAGGTGGAAAGGCCCATTTTATTAAAACAAACAAAACCCCAAGCTATTGGTTTAATCAGATGAAAGTTGAAATAGGTGAGCACACATATGTGGCAAGAGTTAGAAAATATGGAATAAAAAGCATTCTACTTCTCATGTGTGTGCGTTATGTGCTGTCAAGTTGGAAATAATGTACAGCATCTGCAATAGGTCTTTTGAGGTCAAGTGAGAGGTTTAAGGAGCAGTTTTACCAGTGCCAATCTGCACACACCCCAAGGGAGTTTCCATGGCCAACCAGGGATTTGAAGCCAGGTCTCCTGCATCTTAGTCCATCGCTCTATCCAGTAGCACAAGGGCTATCGCACTTCTAATACATGGGAGGGGGACCCACTTCCATGAGGATCAATATACTTGTTACAGGGAATGATTACACTTTAAACACACTTGTCCTTCCCACATGGGGGCGGTGTGTGTGTGTGTGTGTGTGTAAGCTTTTCAAAACAAACTAACTACTCGAAACATTTTCAGAGCCCAGTATGTACGTTTGCAAAGCCATGTATCTGATGCATCTATCAAGACAGAATTCTGCATCCCATTCTGCCTAATCCCTAGTAGCTTACAGGTTATGTATCAGCTTTTGATGGATATTAAAAGTGACGGTTACCTTCACCATGCCAATGTACATGGCGCTCCTGCACAACAGAACAAATCTTTCCCCAAGGAGCTTAAAATCTAAAATCTGACACCATCGAAATGACAGAAGGGGGTGGGGAGGAAGTGTAGGCATGTCAGATTCTGTACTGAGCAGGCATCCAGGTGTTATAAGGTAGGCTGCTTCATTCAAGTATTCCCTAGTACAAAATACTCTAAAGATATGTTTTAGGGATTGCATGCTTCTATATCCAATGAAACATGAATATATACCATGATTATGTGGGACAATCCACATGCTGGCTTTATGTCTCCCCCTGCCCCCGATGGAAGAGTCTTTTTGTACGATTTACAGGTTAAGAACAAAATAAATAAAAGAATAAATAAAAAAAGACCAAAAAAACAACGTGGTGGCATCATAAAGACTAACTGATATATTTCAATGTGAACTTTCATGGACAAATCCACTTCCTCAGACGTAATGAAAGAGAGATAACACTGGAAATATTTACACATGGCATCAACATATAGAGATCGTGGTTGGTTGGTAAGAAAGTCAATGTTTACCTTTGAAGTTTTTAGGTGGGTTTGTTGAGGGAGGAAATATATTTGGGAGATACAGTACAATTATTAGTTGTCTACTAAAAGTGACAACTTTTCAGTCATTTTCTCTTCTGAATCTATCCTGCAGGAGGTTACTTATGGGTATCAAACTTGTTTGTTAATTTTTTCCTTAATCATATCGGGCAGGTACTGTCATCCAATTAATGCAATTTGTAGATGCTTGAGTTTGGAGTCTCTATCTCATGGGTCCAAGCAGATGCAACTGTATCTGAGGGCTTGGCTGTAAATGATAATTTTGTTTTGTTTATTGAGGATGGAAGCCGGAAGCATGAGAGTAGGTGTATCGATTGGTGGATTTTCAGAACTGCATGGTGCTAAGATGTCCATGCTGTAGTTTTACAGTGGTGTCCAGAAAGTGTACCTGTTGCGTAGATTATTCCAGGATGAGTCTGATGTTAGAATGAAAGTTATTGAAATCCTGGTGGAATTTCTCTAGGGATTTCTTTCCCGGTGAGAAAAATGTCATCAATTTACCTCAAATAGAGGAGTGGTTTTTGAGGGCAACAGTTAAATATGAAGAATCTATTGAATGAAGTGTGACAGTGCATAAGTGCAAATACTGCAGAACAGTCAATATTGGATATAGAAGAACGCCACAGAGAAACCAATTGTGGGTTTTAGATGTCTTGTTACAATGATCTATCAACAACGTCTGAACCAAAATAGAAAAAACAAGGCAGACAATTTCCTCCCAAAACAAGGCACTGATTAGATAATCAGGATCGAGGAAAGGTCACTGAGTGGTCACTATGTAGTCATGCAAAGGAGGAGAAAAGCTTCTATTCTGGCCAAATTAGACTCTGCAAAAGAGCTGCCTGCAAAGGTGCACAAGAGGAGATTTTATTTTTTTTGCTGGCCCATTTCAGGACATTAGTGGCCCTTTGCCAGTTGGCACCACATGGCATTGCCAGCCTGGCTTCACTCCTTCCAATTCTAGGGCTTAAATGGATGCTTCAAGCTAGTGATGCTCTGAATTGGAAGCCAGTTCTCTCCCCAATGCAGAGAGATTTAGGCCAAAAGGGGAAAACAAAAAAACAACAACAGAAACAAGAAAACGACTAAGCAGATTATGAGAATCTGCTGAAAGAAATAGCGTTCTGGCTTACAGCTGCTCCTTAGTTAAGCCTCCAAAGACGGCATGCACAAGTATACAGAGGGAGAAATTCCAGGCTCTTCGGAGCAGCTTCTACAGGAGCCACATACTGTAGATTCTTTCTGTGGGCAATGATGTTTTCCATCTTTTGCAAAGGTGGGGAAAACAGCCCCAGTAACAAACATTGTATTGATTTATTGAGAGTTACCAACACTCTCTGGTTTTGTGCTCACATCCATTACAGATTAAAATTTCAATCTCAAAGAGCAACTAGATGGGAATGTGTCTCGCTATCTGTGATGTGCTCCTCACTGCCCCTTTCGAGATTTATCTGCTGACTACAGAATGTTAATGCTGATTCTGAGTGGTTCCCATCTTTTGGCATGAGTGTGCATTATATTTTGTTTGGTTAGCAAAGCTCTCTCTTCTCTCTGTGTGTGCCATTCCCACTTACATTATTCTATCTTCTCTTTGGCTTACGCGATTGGCTATATTGGTCCTTTGGAATCTTCTTGGGGCATATGACATTATTAATGGTACATAAAGTGGGGCTTAGTGGGGAGGAGGGGAAAACCTCCTCCTTTTTCCTACTTGCTGCTCATCCTGGTAAAGACTACGACTACAATACAACTTCCGAACTGTATTTTTTAAAATACTAAACTGATATGGAATTGATTCAAAAGCTTACCACGTCTTGGCAATGCAGTGCTATTTTACCTGTTAAACATTTTTCAATTTTTTTAAAGGAGGACCTTAAATGCCAATGAAATGGGCAGGAAAGAGAGTGATGATAATAGCAAAGTGGGGGGCGGGGCGGGGAAAGGCGGAGAGCACTGTGTCACATAAAGATGCCTGAAACAGACTTTTCTAGGATAATCAAACATTTCCATTTAATTAACAACAGTGATTTAAATGCCAGGAGACAGTATAGGGAAATTTGTGTCAACGTGGGAGAAGCGTCCATATGGTCATTCCGTCCTTCCGGTTGCATATATCTGATCCTATACATATACATCTGATACCTGATCCTGATTCTCAGGTCAAAAGCCACCTGAAACCTTCAGAATGCCTCCCAATAGTGTTTGGATGAGTCTCTCTGCTCAACAATGAGGGATACGGGGATGGGGATGTTGGGAGGGCAGGATAAGGATTGTTCTCTCTACACCTCCTTTAAGTTCACTTATTATCCAAGTCATTAAAAGGGCTTTGTAGTAGTGATGGTGAAGCCAAACCACTTAACTA